CGATTTGAGAGTGTCCTCGTCTAGCTCTGGGTTCGGGGACTGTGAGGGATTCCGAAGGTTCTCCAGTGGGTACTCTGGTTATAATTCTCTGCGTAATCGTTCTTCGCACCGTGGGCAACAAGTACTATTTTGCGGGGAATGCGGGCATGGCTGTTGCACACAGTACCGTACGTGATCGCCGCGTTTGTAGATGAATCTCCCTTCTAGTATCTGATGTAGGTATCCTCTACAATCACAAGAAGGTGTGGTCATGTGCTATTGGGTCCGTGAAGCTGGTTGCAGCAAACCCTGGGACTAATCGTGTTGTAACGACCAGATCAGGGGTAGAGTTTGCCAAAGATGGAAATTTCCGAAACTGAACCGAAACGCTAATGGTAATACAGTTCTAGGAATAGTATAGCAGCCCAAAGAGCGATTATGTCTTTTTGGTCCGACGCCCTGACAGGGATCGCCGATCTAACTGCTATCTCTTTTCTGACGCCCAGCCTCAGCCGGTTGTCACGTTGTACTCAGAGATACCCGCTTGCACTGCGCAAAGCGTTTAACACCACCTATGGTAGGGCAGTGTACGATTCTAATTGGACGGAGCTCTGTCTAGCCACCTAAGGGCTAGTGATTACAGAGGTGACTTCGGGGTGTGTGATGTGGTAAAAACACGCAAGTGCACGGAGAAGGGTTCCAGGGGTCCGGGTCTTGATGCGGTAGAGTCGATAGGGTTAGGATTTAGGGTAAGAGTCGGATGTGCGTATAGGGTGGATCGTCGTGTGGAGATGGGTGATGGTTGGTGTGGGAGTGACGAGGATTGTCATAGGGCAGTTGGTGGAGACTCGAGCTAATGTCAGCAACAAACAATCCAACTGGACTGAGCTATGACAATGCTGAGGAGACAGACAAGAGGAAAGTGAGTGAGTAAAGACCAGCTCAAGTCTGGCTTGTTATTGAGCAGTACGAGCTCCTTATATACATGTCAGACTCAATGTCTAGATTATACTACAAATATACAGAGGTGTATAGAGAGTGAAAGAATACGTGGAATCTGGGAGAACCATCCGAACTATGTAATATTCATGACACGGCGGCTCTCCAGAGCCTCTCACTCACTTGATACTGGTTTGACAGCGGGGGACAGGACTTGATACACTCATGTCATATCACAGATTCATCCGGAAGGGGTGCAAGATGTAATTCTTGGGGCCAAGGTGGGCTATTCAAGCCCAAATTTCGACACACGAGAAAATCGAGAATATCCAGCGATAATATCAGAAATCATGCATCATTCCGCTAGTCAAGAGTTCCATAGGTCTTGGGAACTCGCGTAGAACGCTTCAAGGGGCAGAAACTGACCTTCCGCGTGTGCCTGAGACACTTCTCATCGCCTTGCAGTGGTCCTTCAAGCTTCAAAGCTTCACTATTCTGCCACTCGACCTAACCCTAGAACCGAAACCTAAAGCAGCGCATTCTTACGTAATCGGAAACGGCGCAGAACCTCAGCATACTTAATATTCAGAGCTTCAGCTGCGTCCCACGCCGACCTTGTAATCACCTAAGGCCCCTTTCAGTAACCCGTGAGTTTTGAAAGTCGCGTGAGTTTGAAAACTCGCGCGAGTTCCGGCATGCCGGCCCAGTCATCTTGACCGCTGTTATTTCCAGGCTTGTCATTTCTTTGCAGCAGTACTATTTCGGGGGACCATACCATAATTTCTGCACTCACCAGCCTCAAACGGACTCAGGGTCTGCTCCCCGCCCTGCGCGACGCGGCAGAACGGTGCTTTCGCGGCTGTCACGTGTAGTCACAGGCTTGTCACTTATTGGTTACACTAGCGCTTGGGTCTGAGTTTGCAAACTCACGCGAGTTTCAAAACTCACGGGTTACTGAAAGGGGCCTAAGCTAACACCCTGTTGCACAAGATATTCTCTCACACCGCACAGAGCCATGTGCGCAGGGCGGCTCGCACTGCTATGACGCGTTCTGACGCGTTCTGACGCCAGCAAGAGCCCCGCTCACAAACGAGTACCGTGTGGATATACGCCATGATGCATGATCCTATGGCCGTGTAGCATAATGAGGATTCAGGCAGTCCCGGGCCCTAAAGTAGGTGTCAAACTCTCGATATCTATCCCTGTAGAATAGCTCAAACGGTGCCAGTCGTCTAGTGTACCTAGACCGCGGGGCCCAGTGTCGAATACACGCCAGAAAATTTACAGAAAGGCAGACATCCGTCCTGACTGTACTCCTAAGGGTCTCATTTTACATGGTGGGTACTATGATCCCCCATACCTGGATAACAAAGACGTTGAAGAGACAGTGAAAGGGCAAAAAAAAAAAATTAACCAATACGTCCGTGGGTCTATAATCACAATACTTGATAGCGTACGTAGATTCTTTTTTTTTCTCCATTCCCCGTACGTGTATCGCCGCAGGCCCGAAAAATCAAAAATATTGTAACGGATAGGAACGCAACAAGCGGTGGCACCGTGAGAGACGACGTGACTGACACCTCCCGAGAGCGGACGTCGGGAGCTGCCGACGGTGGTATTCGACGATATTCACACAGCAGGCAAGGCCCGCATCTAGTTCTGGGGTGGGACGTCGAGGTGGCTGGATACCAATAGATCATCTCCAGCCACGGATTCAGTTCGCCTGTTGTGTCAGCGTGATCCCGTGTGAAACGTCGCTTGAGGACAGTTCAGGACCCGAAACCGCATCTCTTCAGGCTGTCCTCCAACTTCTGAACGTTCTGGACGTTCTGAACATCTGAATCATCATCAAAGTCAGTCTGAAGTCAAACTTCAAAAACGCTGATTTACGACGTTTCGAGGCACAGCGGCCATAATCGTGATGAGACTCGCCCCGCCTCGCGAAGCTCTGTGTATGATGATGCACTGCAGGATCGCCATGGTGTGCAAGTGCTTGCTGGATAGGTCTCCGATATATATATATATATATATAGCTCGCCCGACCGCCATAGTCAAACTACACATTCCTCGCCTTTCGTGGCTCGACGGCCCCTCACAGCTCTTTCAACTCCACGTCGCTCACATCACCATGTACTTCGCCATCTCCCTTGTCTTGGCTCTCGCTGCCATGACAGCTGTCTCGATGCCGCCCCCCAAGGGCCGGCGCGAGGACGGCATCGCTCGTCGTAGCTTCACTGGCCGCTCCTTCAGCCGGGGCTTCAAGGCACGCGACGACCCTCAACCCGTGCTCAACCCATTCACGTCTGGCGCCGTCTTGAATGCGACAGCAGTGAGTCTCCTCTTATGTCTCTGTACGATGCATGTGCTGACAGGTTTGACTTCTGCATAGGGCACGATCACAGGTGTCACCGAGTCGTTCGTGATCCCGAACCTTAGTGTGCCTGAGGGTCAGGACCCGACTGTCGCCTACACCATAGTCATCGAGCTCGGCATGGATTGGTACAACTGCCCGACCGGCGGTATCCTGGCTGGTATTCAATCCGTCATTGACAACGGCACAGTGACCAATAGTGGTCAGTCCGCGCTTGTTGATCTCCCTCTCGCATACTGACAAACCATGAATATTCTCGTAGCCTTTTTCCAGGCCTTCCCTGAATCTGCATCCATCGTCGTCTTCCCGGACTTTAGCGCCTCAGTGGGAGACAGCATCACGACAAGCGTCACTGCGACGAACGCGACGTCGACCACGGTGATCTTTGTCAACCAGAGCACGAACCAGACCGTCTCGCAGGTCGTCACTACCGGTACTCTGTGCCTGCAGGAAGCAGACTGGCTCCTGGAGGACCTCCAGACGGACGGGGGAGCAGGGTCCGGAATCCCCTTTGCCGACTTTGGCGTGATCAACATCACCGGTGTATCTGCCCAGACCCCGTCAGGTCCTGTGGGGCTCGCTGGCGCGACCATTTTCGAAATGGAACTGAACAACACCGCTCTTACTTCCGTCTTGGTCTCGAACTCGACCATCGATATCACCTACCTCTAATGCAGCAGAAAGGATGTAGGTTTTGTGGGGTTTGGGAAGTGGAAAAAGAGATGGTGTGTGATTTATATATATATATATATACCGCGTGCTAGAGGGAGTGGTATTTATTTAACGCTGCTTGTATGACTTGTTTGCATATTACGCATATAGTTAGGAGGACCGATATTTATTCAACACTAGTTGCATCGGTGGATGAAACCCACATGGACTCTGAACGCCTCCGACGACGAAGAATACTGTAATGAAATTGCGTCTGCACCCGACACTTTGAGGACACTTTACGGCTGTCCATTGGAGACAGGTCTGTTTTCAGATCTGCCCCTGAAGGCCTGATCAACAGTCCTATAAGTCTTGGGTACTCCCGCAGAGCACTCTAGGGAGACCCTCCGCGTACACCTGAGATACTTCTCTTCGCTTTGCAATATTCCTAATGAGAGTGGACCCCAACTGTCCTGCTACTTGACCCAACCCTAGAACCGAAACCAAAGCCGCATTCTAGCGCCGCTAGCAAGAGTCCTGCTCACAACTGAGTACCGTATGGATATATGCCATCCTATGGCCGCGTGGCATAGTGGTTGAGAGGGAGTATGTGCGAGAACATAGTTTGTAAATTAGTCACGAGTGTTAGGAACAAGGCAAGAAGGAGTGCTGAGAGAGTGTGCGCTAGGCCTGCATGTACCTCGTAGTTGTACGGGCCTTTATAAACATGCGGAAAGAAATAAAATAAAATAAAATAAAAGTGCGTGTGTGCGCGCGCGAGAAAAGAGTCCGTCAATAGCCATGAGCATCCGAAGAAGTCGAGGAACGCTGCCTCGCTCAGGCTTCTGCTCTCCTCGGCGCGTGCGTCGTCGAGCTCAGTGGCTACTGTGTACACAGGTGTAGTGCTGCTCCGCTTGGAGAATCCGCGTTTGCGCACCGTCTGATCGTGATTGGCTGAAGACTTGCGCGAGTGCGGGGCCAACAGATTAGAGACGAAGTCATCGCCGTCAGTCATCGCCGTCTCGGGTGGGGCCCTCGAAAATCACCTCGGACGTCGCATTCAGCGGCTTTGCCTCCTGACGTCTTGACCTTCGGCACATCGCGATGGTTGAACGACCACGACTCGCCAGACGTGACACTTGAGCTCTTCACGCGCCCAAAGGTCCCAAAGGTCTCATCGGTTGGCCTCGGAGTATTCGGTGTGTCAGATGTGGACACGGACGATGTCGTGCGTGTAGGCGAGAGCGCCGGTATGCTTGCGGCCGTGGATACTGTCGCCAGTGACCGACCGCGCTGTGTCGCAATCTGCGCTCTGATGCTTGTGCTAGGCGGCGCAAGGAAGGTGGCATCGCGCTGCGAGTGACGAACGTCGAAGCTCGTCGGTAGCAAAGAGGGGGTGCCGGTGAGTAGTGGTGTGGTCTGTTCGCCTTCCGTGCCCGCTTTCTCAACATGCACGTCGTCGTGTCCTTCCAAACGCGAACTCGCCGCCCCAGGGCTCCACCGCACCTGGCTGATGAGAGATGTTACAGGTGAGGCGGGTCGCGGAACGTCGGCGGAGTCGAGAGCAAGATCCAAGCTGTCGACGTCACAATCAGCATCCGCGTTCCGTGCAAGCCACTGCTCGCATATGCGCCTGGCCTTGGTCTCGCCCTCGCTTGCGTCGTCATCATCGTCGTGCAGTGCCGCAAAGCGCCGGTCGTGGTCGGCCTTTTGCACGCTCATCGGGAGCGTGTCGCCGTTCGCGTCGCGATACCGCCGCGGAACGAGGCCCCGAGATCGCAGTGCCGCCTCGCGCTGCCCCGGCAGGAGGAACGCGTTCGGCAGTGTCGGCACCGGCGCCTTGTGGCGGGGGGCTGGCGGCAGGAGCACCATCCCCCACCATTTCATTTTGCTGCCAGATCCAGATGCCTTGCCGACGGAGACAGCGGCGCCCAATGACGTCGCCGGCTGCGGTGGGCGTAGCTTGGTCACGATGCGCTTCAGCAGACCGGTTTTGGAAGCCTGCAATGCTGCTGAGGGTGGTGTCGTCGTAGAAGGCATGGTATATGCAATCAACTCCCGGGAGCTGCAGAGCTTTTGTAAGCATCCATCCACGGAGATATCATGAGAATGCCATGGAACAGAACGAAACAACAGGATGCCCATTCAAGAAGGGGTACAACAGGGACAACGTTAGATCTTGACGGTTTTCGCAAGAATCGGGCAGTTTCCCCTGGCGTCTAGTGGTACCGCCGGCAGGCACTGGACATGAGGCCTTGAGGTGCGACAGCTAAACGACCGTGTAACTAGACGGCCTAAATGGCTCTGAGGAATAGATGGTGTGAAAGGATAGAGCATAATAGAGCTGGCCTGACCGATAGAAGTGGAAAAGGACCAGATAGACTCAAGCGCCAGGTCACAAGCATTACTGAAGAGAGGAAGAGGCGAAGGGAGAGTTACTTGGAAGAGCGATCTTCCGTTCTTCGCCACATGTGTTCGCAGATGTGACAGAAAAAATGCATACACGAACCTTGCTGGCGTGGATGTAGATCGAATGGATTTGTATCCTTTAGTCGGCAAATGGTAAGCTGTAAATTGTGTCTAGAGTTAGCATGTTCCTGAATAAAGAAGCCGTGTAAATCACAATAAATTGTGGAAGACAAGCAGAGCTCCGCCGGGAGAGAATCGCATAGAAGCGAGTCACACGAGTCACACATAGCGGCATGCAAGGGAATGGGGCAAAGACTGAGCCGTGAAGAGAGGAACCACAGACCTTGTGGTTAAATAAAACCACTGCGCGATAGCTAAGTGTGCGATGTTAAATATATCTACGAGAAACTTTCAGTCAACTTCAATGAAGCTGATAGATAAACTCGGGCGGAAAGATCACCTCTGTAAAGGGTAGCCCAACGGAACGAGAGTTGAAGTGATTGATGTATGACGATCGGGTTATTTCACAACGACGTGAAAGTAAGCTAAACCGGTCACATGCAACAGACGCATGGTTTGAGCTTTATAAGTATCGGGAAGAGCGGGAGGTACTCACGGAAGAGCTGACTTGGACCACAGTTCTTATGTCCCGCGGTCCCGCAGGCAGGTTGACACTGTGCCCGGCAGATACACGGGTGGCGCGGGGGGATGGCGATGGCAGCGTTGGCGCTGTGGATTGGACGAAGGGACAGTCGGGTAGGTTCGTGGCAGGGAGACCCTGAAAGAATGTGGGGGGAAAGAAAGGGGGAAGGGCGGACTGAGGAGAGTAGGAGATGGCGTGCATGGGTCATATTTAAGTGTGCAGTCGATGGAATAAATTGAAAGGACCAGACGTGATCGAACATGGAGCCCTGCACTTCGCATCAGGCGAGAGAAGACCTGAGAAGACGTTACCGTTTAGGCGGGCGACCGGGACCAGTTCTCGCATGTGTTCGCTGCGTTGCATGAAACATCTGCTCATGATGGGTTTTGCAAGACATTTTGTCGTCTGGTCGATGTCATCAACGAATTTACCCGCATCTACATACAGCGAGTGATCCTCTTTTTGTCCTTGCAATAGCACGACCCCGGAAGCATTGCGACGTGGCTGCAACGGGCAGAGTCGACGCGAAGGCGTCGAGGCAATACTGGGCAGAGAAAGCCTGAGTACGAGCTGAGTAGGAAAAGACAGTAGGCATGGTGAGAATTGTGTAGGGTATAAAGAAGTGTTCAGTTACTTGTAAATGATTCTTGCCTTGACCATTACTGTAATATGGTCAGGGTGGCTCGACGTATCATCGGTATATCATCTATGACAGATCCCGATCTAGGCGTGTGCAGAAGGGTAAGTAGATCCTTTTCTCGCGGAGCTAAGAGCGCGCCAAACCTTTCGGGAAAAAACGAGATTCGAGCGCCGTCATTCAGCGCACGGACGCCAGAGTCGTTTGCTCGTTGCCCTCCTCGACGTCACCCATTGGGGTCGATACGTTCTCTAATCCTATGTGTACATCTGATTATTAAGGTGCACGTCCTCCTGGCTGTACATCTTTCGTGATCGGTGAGTCGAAAGCATCTTAGCAAGAGGGGAGGGTATCTGAAACCTGGAATGTTAGCTTGCCGGATAATGAGCGAGACACTGCTGGCCGTCCTGCTCGTCACGTCCTCAGCAAAGGGTTCTAGTCTCGTCTATCGATGGCCGCCGCATCCTGCCACCCGCCCTAGGCTCGCACGCCCGCTTCCCACACACGACGCGACCTGCGTACACGCCGACAACCCTTGGCGCGCCGCACACGCCTCCCAGCCATCCAATCCATGCGACGAATACGTTCCCGAGGAAGACGACTACCGTTGGCACCGACTCAACGCCGACCGTCCACGGTCCCTCTCCTTCTCTCATGGCCGCTCTCGTCCCGCCTCACGCAGGCCATCTCCATCCAAAGACGTCAAGGACTCGCTTGTCATGGAGGGCCAGCACGAGCTGGACATTCACGAACACGACGAGCTGCTGGGATACTCTGCCGAGTTCCTTGCCAGCCTGCTATGTCCGCACTCAGCCATGTGCCACCAGAAGTTCGAGCTCGTGGTCGACGAGCTGGCATTCATCGGCCATCCGGTGTGCGCCGAGGAGGACGGCGGCTGGCGGTTCCGTCCCGAGAAGCACAAGAGCGCGTCGCGCGGTCGTGGGTCGCGCAAAAGTCATACGCCGTCACCACACACTGAAGAAGGCGGTGTGACGCCGGACACTAGCGCCAAGGACCTTCCTTCGTCCGGGACGTGGCTGCAGACGTTCCACCTGGTGATGGTGCTAGACTTACCAGATCCGTCGTCATCTGCGTCTGGGAACATTGCGAAGTACGTGGACACGATCTACGAGCAGATGATATTTGCGACGACGGCGGTGATGTACCAGGAGCAGGTGGTACACAACTTTGTAGAGATGGAGTGTGACAAGCTGGGTGCTCTTAAAGACGATTATGTGAAGCAAGGTGGGCATACAGTCAGTTGCCTGACCCAGACAGCCGAGCCAATGACATCACAGGCCAGACAATCTCGACGTATCTTGACGACGCGCTGAAAGTTTCGTCAATCGCATCGGCAACGAAGACACTGTACGACTCGATCAAAGACGGCACGATCGCACAACTGACGATTCATGAGTTTCATTTGGAACTGCAGCTTCCGCCACACCTGGACAGGCTGCTGCACAACGAGGATGGACTGGAAAATGACTGCGCTGACCGCGAGGGCGAGGACGAAGACGAGTACGGGGCGGCGGCATGGGGTCCTGAGATGAGTTTTGCGTGGCGGCTGCCGACGCTTGCACCG